GGGAGGGTTGGGCAGGTGGGGGGGGCAGAGAGGGCCCTCACGGACACGTAAGGGCTTGGCTGATGGCGAGGGACGCCTGCAGCGGTAGTTGTTCACCGTAAACTCTGAAAGTAAAGCTGCATCTAAAGATTATGGCATGTCACAGAGCCATCAGCCGTCTGTAGGGCTGTTTTGAATATTGCCTGACAATGTTTTTCTTTGCAGAAATAGTAGAATTTCAAAAAATAGTGGGTAGCTTAATTGAACTTGTTGATCAACTGGCAAAAGCTGCTGAAAGTGAGAAGATGAAGGTACTGTGCAATTAATTACCAGCTTGTCATGTACTCTGCTCTGTACTGTGCTTGAAGAACCAGATCTCTCCCTTCCCCCCCTTCACAGCATCAGCAACCTTCTGTCAGCATCCTGCAGGCGTTTCTGCGGTGGTTAACGGCCTGTCTGCCGTGTGAAAGCACGGGGCTCTTTAACTGACAGGCATGAGGAGTGCCGTGTTAATCCTACCTTTGACAGTCCTGTTCCTGCTGTATGTTTGCAGACAAACAGAACGTGTTTTCAATCACTCCTGCTCTAGAACTTTGTCCTCCAGAGGCATGAGAGGCTCAGGGAGGAGGAGAAGGGCTTTTTAAAGACGAGTCAGTAGCTCTGTAACTCCCGTAGAGTTTTCCTTATGTGTCGCCAAGGGCTGTGTGTTTTTCCACATTAGTGTGGACACAGACATTAGCATTCAGCACAGTTGTACGTAACTACTTTTTTTCCTTATTTGTTCTGGGGAAAACATGAAAACCAGCGCTTGTCTGTCTGTAGGGCCAGTCAGCAGTTTGTGTTTCCAGAGGAGTCAGTGACTTCTGTTCCTGAGGCTGAAAGAAGTCTCAAATGCCTAAATTGGAGCCCAGCCTCTAGAGGGACCATTTGCCTGGTCCACCAACCACCCGCTATTCAGCCGTCTCCCTCTGTTATCGTTGGTGACACTTCAAAGTCAACCTGCTAGTGATGACGGGGGTTAAAAAGATTTCAGAAGTCCCGATACAACTGCATCACCGACCGTCCTCTTTTGACAGGCCATCGGTGCACGCAACTTGCTGAAGTCGATGGCAAAGCAGAGAGAAGCTCAGGAACAACAGCTTCAGGCTTTAATAGCTGAGAAGAAGATGCAGCTGGAAAGGTGAGTTTTGGGGCGTGATGGCAGGTCCGTCTCGCGATCCGTGCTTGGCTGCAGGACACGGTGTGAGCTTGCTGCGAGAGCGGGTGGGCAGCGAAGGCGCGTCCTCCTGCGCAAAGCAGGCGCGGAACCACGCAGCGGAACTGTTGCGGCACCGCGCGTCTGACTGGTGAAGGCTCCTTGGAGCTGCAGCGTCCAGCTGACGCCACCGTGACGTCACCAAGGACTCGGGCCCGCAGCCCGGTGTTCCTTCCCCGCTAACCCTCCCAACGGGCTGGACGTAGCTGGTAACCACTGATTTCTCTTCTTTCAGGTACCGAATAGAGTACGAGACACTCTGCAAAATTGAAGCAGACCAGAACGAATTCATTGACCAATTCATTTTTCAGAAATAGAGGATGTTAAAATAAAACCAAACTAACCTGGAAGCTTGACCATTCCAGAATCTCGAGAATTTAAAAAAATATGCAATTTTCCACTGTGTATGAATGGATGGTTTGTATAAATGGAAGCGTCTTTTAATTAATTTGGTGTGAATTACACTCAAAGTGGCAATAAGGAGGGCTTTCTAACAGACATAGAGACTGTTCTGTCCTTTGCTTTTATAGAAGTTTTGTACAGCCAGTAGTTCTAATTCAGATTATAGTTGAATTAATACTACTGTTGCTATGTTGCGTCTCTCTTTTTGAATTGTACAGCTCTTGCAAAGAAAAAAAAATCAGGAAATAAATTATTGTTTTCAGACTTTCTGGATATACCAGAATTAGTTCCTTCTGTTGTTATTTTTGAGCTTCAGGGTTTACACCTCCTTGGACAGTCAGGATGATTTTCCTACAGGTCGGGTCTCCCATGTGGGTGAAGACATAACGCACCATCACCAGTAACAGGTGTCTGTGTTGGCCAGGTTATTTTTCATAAGGAGGTGGGAGAAATCCTGGAAAGCTGTGATTAGCAGAATGGATTGAGTCCAGACCCACACACACAAAAATACGGCAGAATTAAGAACTTCAGGCTGTGCCTGAGGTATGTCCACACAGGCAGTAATATTAGAGCAGGTTCTGTCACGGCGTTCCTTGTAGGACCGGGAGGACACCGGGAGCACGCAGCGACGCGGAATGCGAAAGTGACATTTAAAACCTGCGTGCCTGGGGTCTGAAATCCAGCCTTGTGTGAGCAGATGCAACAGGGAAGTGTTGGCCGTTTCAAATCTGCTGAAAGGCTTAAATTTTGTACCAGTGAGGTCCTGAAAGGCATAGGCAGTGACTGAAAAGCCACTCGCTGGCCTGTGATTTGACACGAGTCCCCAAGTTCGATTCTTGCCCATCAGACTGAGAACTTAAAACCCAACCGAGCGCCTGATCCCGGTTTTCCTGTCAGGAGTGGGATTTATTTACCGTTTCACTGTGTGAACTATCTGTGATCTCATGGGCATTTTACGGTCCTTTTAGTCACCCCCTTAAAAAGATTAAATGCAGTTTAATGTGTTTAGTTCTTTTATTTCCATCCTGAAAGTGATGTCACAGAAGGCAGAAATGTACAAATCCTCCTTTACGACTCCTGCGGCACTTAAGAATCCCCTGGGAACACACCTCCTTGTAAAAGCTCACTCCACACATTCAGAATTCCAGCTCTTGGCACCTTTATCACCGATCAGACATTTGCAATTAATCAGAACCGAAGCAGAGCAGAGGAAGGGGCAGGGAAGTTAAGAATTACATGATTGGAAATGCTTCGGAAGCATGGCTTTGCAGATTTGTACAGAGGCAGGAGTAGATTTTGCAGAATATGCTCTTGGAAGACCAATTTCTTACTCCACTGGTTTTCTAAGAGTCATCTTGGAAAAAGGGAACTCGAAAGAAAGGCTCTGGCTGTCGTTTCCACCCCCGTCACGCGGTTACGTGCCGCTGTTACCGATGGAGCACACAGCTGACAGCGGGAGAGGAGCGCGGTCCCTTCACCCGTGGGTGCCCAGGAGCCACGCGGCACCGCCGGCTTCTGCCAAAGCTGTTTCCGACCGGAGGAGAGCTGTGAACTCCAACCGACCCTAATCCTTCCTGCGGGAGCCAGATGCTCTGGTAGTAGCTGTTGCTGCCCACAGGAGGCGGAGGTTTGTCCCGGAGGACGACGTCAGCGCAGGGTCTCAATCAAAACCAGGATGAGCGTTGTGCTTGCAGCTGTGAGGCTGGCCTACCTCCTCTTCCTTTTCTCCACCTGGTTGTAGTAGGGGTTGTAGAGCATGGTGAACAGAATCAGGAGGGGTATCAGCAAGTACGGCGCGTATACGGACAGCAGAGTGAGGCGCTCGCGAAGCGTCTGAGGTCCCAAATGCTCAGACTTTGAAAAATCGTGAAACAGGATATACGTGAGGATGGGAAACACCGTTGTAGCTACGTGGGTGGAGTAGATTATTGCGGGAGTCCTTATCCATCTGCAGCCACCTGTACGGAAGCAGAAAGAAAATTATTTAAGTATTTTGGAGCAAGCAGAATTCAGTGGCTTTCAAACTAACTACATCTCCATCAGGATAAATCATAAATCGTATTAAATAGGAAGTAGAAAAAACGTAACTGCGAGCAGCAACCCAGGGAAACGATCTGCTTTCACACAAGTTTGGAAGGACGGTGCGACAGTGAAAGTTTTAAAGTAACAATATGAGTACACAGTCTTGACCCAGAACTTTATCGACCTTGGAAACGTGACAGATGTCAAACGACGGCGCTGGTTACGTACCGATGGCTGCAGCTGACAAGGGCCTACAGCCACAGTGTTTCTGACAGGCCTCACTCTGCTGCTCGGTCAGGTAAAACTTGCCATGAAATCAGCACTGCACATGGCACGTCCCTACAGTCACTTAAGGCTGGCAAATGAACTTTCTCAGCTGCAGAGAGAGCAGGCGTTACGCAGAAATGCTGCACAGGACGTATTCGTACACGTGTTCCATACCAACCTTTTAGGAAGGCGTACGCTGCGACGGGGAAGAAGGGCATTTGTAAGAAGGCTTCGCAGTATATAAAGGCCATAAACCACTCTGGGGGCTGGAGCATCATGGGGTCTTTGAAGGTGGTTGCATACCACTGTAAGAACTCCGTCAGCTGGAGAACGAACAGAACAGCAGGTTAACACAGTGATCAACAGCCACAGAGCAAAAACTGCGACCCTGGTCTAGCGGGCAGGCAAAGCCCTCGCTGCAGCGAGAGAAGGGAGCGATCTCCCTGCGGTACACGAGGCAGTTCAGCTGTAAGAGGGACTACAGTTCTGAAGCCTCTGACGGGATGAGCCCTTGCCAGCAAGCACAGATTAAATTTGCACTACAGGCGGTTCTGCGACTGCCACAGCCTTAAGTACAGCTGTTTTCCAAACGCTATTCCCGAGATGTCATTTTCTACTGGAAAAAACACCCCAAACCACAAGAGAACCTGCACCTTGACCTTAGTAGTTACTATTTTCCTCTCTCTGTCCCTCCATTGCCAGCTGAGGCGTGTTCCCTGTTGCAAATGCGTGTAGGCGCTTGCTGGGCCTAACCGGGAGGTGCCTGATGGGAGCAGCCCCCGCTGAGGGGCATTCCGGGGTGTCGGTCGGTGAGGGAGGCCCCTTCGGTCATGGGGCTGGCGGCTCCAACAGCCAGATGTAAGAAATCTGGCTTAGCATGCTGCAATCAGTTTCTGTGACAGAAATGTAAATTCCAGCGTGGCTTTAGGTTGGACTTTGAACGGCGAGATATGTATTGAGGTTTGCTGGTTAACTATTAATTAAAAATGGTCTCTATGAAGGAGAGATTCTATAGGCAATTTAATGGCAAAAACGCACTAACTGCAAAGCTCATTCAGGAAGCCATGGCTGATGACGGGAGTTGAATTATTTTCTGTCCAACTGCTAATGAATTGACTTTATTATACTTATTGTCTTCTAATTTTACTCAAAACCCAGCAAACCAGTGATTCTTACTCCTCACTCTGGTTGCTTGTTGCCTGTGGTGACAATCCCCTTGTACTTTCTGGCAGGAGCACAGACGGGGCTGACGGCCACCGAGGCAGCGACAGCCGCATCCGGGGGCACGCGGCGGGGTGTTCAGTGCCTTTGGGGCAGGTGGGGCTGCGCGCACCTTCCCGCAGACATAAACGGGTGTTACCGGCCAGTTTGCTCGCCCTGCAAAGCACAGGGCCTTCCCCGCGGGGAAATGACCCGCCGCGTGGCTTTCTCAGGGCCCTCGGCCTGCGGCCCCGGGAGCTTGAGCGGGACGGAGCGGCGCCTCGGAGCTACAGATGGCGAAGGGCATGGGGCAGAGGTGCTGCCGAGCGGTCACACGTGTGCTCCTTCCCAGGCGCACGGCGACTAAAACGACGTCATCCCACCAGCAGCACGCGTGGAATTGCTTCCCAATACTACTTCATTTTGGGGAATTTATCCACGGTTTCTCCCTCCTTATGCCTCTACGTACCACGCTTTGTGAAAAATGCCAGAGGCTCTATTAAATCAAGGGGAAAGCTCTGCATAGACACACGGAATGGTTTGGGTTGGAGGGA